TTTGATCCTTGAAAGTGAGGATTGGGGATTTTGATACCATCTTCTGTGTCACAAAACTTCTGAGAAGTAGTACTAACGGTAAAATAAAGATTTCTTAAATCCCTGTCCTCCACCAAAAGAATATTACTCTAATGGAATGCCTAGTGAGAATATACCAAGTCCTGTTTTTATTGAATTTCAGAAGGAAGTACAACATCTGCCAGCAGCAGCTGATGTATCAGGATTCTGTCCTGTCCTCTCATCTGTATTTTGTTGAATTTGATTTTGTTTTCTTGCTCTTTGCTTTAGAAAGAAAAGGAAAGCCTAAATGAAGAATTACATGAATTGAAGAAAGAGAATAAGCTTTTGAAGGAAAAAAATGTTCTTGCAAGCAAGAAGAAGGAACGTTATGAATGTGAAATAAAACGCCTCAATAAGGTATCAGGCCATGTCAAGCATGGGAGGTGCAAATGAGAGTCTCTGGGTAAAGAGTACACTCCTTACTGAGAGTCAACAAAGTCTGCACTGCACCAGCACTCAGCCTTTGGGGCTTGCAGGTGGTGGTCTTCTGTAATTTCTGTCTGCATCTTTCAGCCACATTGGGCTGAGGAGGCTTTAGGCAAAGCATGTTCCCGCACAGAATCAGCTTGAAAAAGAGGAGTGCGGAGAAATTATAGAAGACAGTAAGCAGCATTGTTGTAGTTAGAAGGAACCACAGAAAGTGGGTGTTTGCGAACAATAACGTATCTCTTGGTTGACCACAAAAGCTTCCTGAGGAAACAAGCTGCTCTTTAAAACTATCACTACAGAACTGGGCATGATGCAGGCTATATGGAAGCATGGTAAATGTCAAACCCAAAGCTGAGAAGGTGGCCTTCCGAGGAATAATGGGGTGGGGAGGGTTGGCAGGAGAAAAATGCAAGTGGTTTAATACCTTTGCTCTGACTTAACTGTGAACTGGAAGTCTCTGGTAGTGCAAACAATTAAGGCAATCTAACCAAAACCCTTAGCCGGCTAGTCGATTATGACTCATAGCGACCCTATAGGACAGAGTAGAACTGCCCTATAGGGTTTCCAAGGAGCAGCTGGTAGATTCGAATTGCCAGCCTTTTGGTTAGCAGCTGAGCTCTTAACCACTGCCCCACCAGGCCTCCATTACGGCAATCTACTTCTGAAAAATCAGCCATTGGAAACTCTATGGAGCGCAGTTCTACTCTGACACATATGGGGTCACCATGAGTTGGAATTGAGTCAGTGGCCACTGGTATCTGTGAACTGTCACAAAAGGATGACAACGTGTATGTGTGTGTTATTGTTTGTTACTGTCGTTCTACGGACTAATGACTTAATTTGCTTGAGGAAGCAATGGCTGTCTTGTTCAGGGAAAAATTTTCATCCTTTGCTGCAACCTTTTCCAAGAGCCAAGTCATATGTGGGACATAGGGAAAAGGCTAGCATATGGTTGGGTTGAGAAGGTCTGCATCTTTCCAGCTAGACATTTCTTTGCCAAAGAAACAGAAATTGTCTTCTAAAATAAGGGTAGGTGATTGACTGGGCTTCCTGTGTAAACTATGGTTGTAGTTAACTAACATCTAGAGAGTGCCTTTTAAAGATCCCCGAAGTGTGAAGTATGTGCCAGTGTAGCTGATATGGTGCTTGACGAACAGTGATGTTATATTTACTCTGTTTGCGGTTCGAGTTATTCTTCAAGAGAAAATGGGAAAGTGGTGATTGACTTCCTAAATAATGTACTTCTCTATCCTCTGAGATAGAAAAACAATGTTCTAATATGCAAATATGTATCTTTATCCTTTTTTCCCTGCTGGAAAATCCTCCACAGATGAATTAGAGGAACTAAGGATAATTGAGGTGATATTTGAAATTTCTCCCATTTTTGATGTATTGTTATAAGTTTCCTTACATTCTCTAGTTTGCCTCCCTAAATGTGGGCTAGCCACAGGTTAGGACAGCCACGAATTCAGGTTTTCACTGTGTCCATGTGCACACTTCATTTTTGTGTGTTTGTATTTATTTAAAAAAAAAAAAAGTTGCTGTTAAATCAGTTCCGACTCATGAAAACCCTGTGTGTGTCAAAGTATAAGTTTGCTCCATAGGGTTTTGGATACTGATTTTTCAAAAGTAGATCGCCAGGCCTTTCTTCTGAGGCACCTCTGGGTGGACGCAAACTACCAGCCTTTCACTTAGCAGCGAGGGCTTAACCATTTATGCCACCCAGGGAAAAGTTAGAAAAATGCTAATTTTACAATTCTAGTGATTATAATCATAAAATCGCAATGAGAAAAATTAATTTGACTAAAAGGCAAGTATTTACACAGATGTCACCTTCTGAAAGAAAACTTTTCTGACTATCCTAATTAAAATTGCACGCTCACCCCTGGTATTTCCTGCTTTATTTTTTTCCTCAGGAGTTATTACTGTCTAATATACATTCAATGTCTCACATTTATTTATCTTATTGTTTTCTATCTCCCAATCTTAACTGTAAGCTCCATGACGGTAGAACTTTTGCCGTGCTGACTTCTCTATTAGGCGTAGTAAACACAGTGCCCGTTGTTGACCTTGGTAGTTACTGCGAGTCGATTCCGACTCATGCAGGGCCTAAGGCCCACAATAATTTTAGGGGTCTTTGAAAACATTTTAATTTCTTTAAAATCAGAAAAAAAAAAAGGGGAAATTTTAAGTTGGAGAAAATGTTTTAATACGTAATATTAATATAAACATCTTTATAACCATGCAGTAGTAAAATATAATTTAGTATCTATTTTTTATGGAGGAAGAGGCCCACAAAGGCAACAGTCAATGGGATTTTTCTGTTTTGTTCACTGCTGTACCCCAGGTGCCTAGAGCAGGGCCTTGCTTATAGTAAGTACTTAAATATATGTTAAATGAATGGATGGATAAATAAATGATAGAGTAAATGAATATAATTAGCTAATACATAGTATGTTCAATAGCCAGTTCTGGACCTGAGATTCATGCTTTACCAGACATAATATATTATTTATGACTAGTGAGGAAAAAGTAAAAGAGTGCTTAAGGCCAAAAAGAATTCATTCCTCACATCTGTACCTTAACCTGTCATTTAAAAACATAGATATAAGGTGAGGAGTTATGAAAAGAGATTTTTTTTTTCCTCATCTAGCACATGTATTAGTGCTTAGTGAAATGTGAGAAATTCTTCTTCTCTTTTACTTTGTGTATTTTTCTTTTCTTTTTTAACCTCTGTAACAAATAGAAGTGACCCACAATGTTCATTTGGGTGGCTGATTGTATACAACATTCTCTCACAGCATGGAATTTGGGGCCCACCCTACTTGCACAAGCTCACTGCCTGCTGACCCATTCAGTCTGGAAATTTGTAACATGTCAGTTTAGTAATTAACATATGGTTTTCAGAAGTTCACACAACTCCATCTCTGTCTCTGTACGCAAGTTAACTTTTTATTTGCTTTGAAGAAAGTACCCAAGAGCATTGTTTTCATCAAGTTCTTGAAGAGAAGCCAGATGTTTAACCACAGTGAGAGAAATTACCTGAGACTAGTCAGCTAGTGCCACCCATGGGCAAAGCTGATTTGTCTGACATCTCCTCATTGTGAGAGAGGTAGATCTGTTTAGTATATGTGTGCAGATAGCAGAGAACTATTCTAGAATATGTTACAGGTGTTCGTTCAAGGAAGTTGGAAAACCCCAAAATGAAATGAGTGTCTATTAGACTCACCTTCCATTTATGACTCATTTGCGAAATTTCTAGAAGCCTGAATAACATGAAAGGTACACCAGGAAATTCAAATAGAATGAGACCCACAAAAATAATCTATTCATAGGTGAAGAAACCAACATATTTGATTGTCTTTATTCCTTTGGTGCACTCCACCCTAGATTCTTCCTACTACAATTAACACACCTAAAAAAAATCTGTTATGACACTTCCTAGAACTATGTAGGTTAACAACAAATTCTAACAAAGCACAAACCATTAAACAACTTTCACTGTTTCTTTAAATTCTTCCTGGAAAGGGGGGAAAAAAAGTTCCTGCTTCTCTTACAACTTCCTGAACAATGATATCACTGTCAGACGAGACAGTACTGTAGATTCTAGGACATTCTGTTAGGAAATTCCCATTCTACTCACCCAAGCTCAAGACCATAATTTTGCTTTTCTTCTCCTATCTTTATAACCATATTGTACAGTAATGTAGGGGAATGAGTTACTAGTAGTACCACTCAGTGGACTGCACAGAAGCTAAAGAAAAACTCACTGAGGAAGTTAATTCTTCCTAGAGCTTTGAACATGGAACTTTTCTATCTCTACAGAGAAGTCATTTGATAATGAGCAAGTAGTCATACTGTAGGCTCTGAGGCCACACCATGGTGAGGTGTTTCCTGTCACAATTTCTGGAAGCCATTTTATTGAATTTGTTGTGAACAAGGGTTCTTCAGAATATAGGCAATGAAATGTCTTTTGCATGATCTGACGAAGTATACTATCATGCAATCTAAGTGTCTTCCTGGAGGATCTAAGTGTCTCTTATTTCCTTCGCCTTCTCAGCCTATGATGAAATCATCAAGTTGTACTGGACATCAGGAAAGCAGGGAACCCTATCCACCCTGTACTGAGTTAATTGGATGCTTTGCTGTTGTTCTCAGGTGCCATCGAGTCGATTTTTGACTAACAGCGACCCCATGTGGCAGAGTAGAACTGCCCCATAGGATTTTCTAGGCTGTAATCTTTACGGGAGCAGATAGCCAGGTTTTTCTCCTGCAGAGCCACTGGGTGGGTTCAAACGACCAACCTTTTGGTAAGCAGCTGAGCATTGCGCCGCCGGGGATCCTTAATGGATGCTTTAATGGAGCATAAATATGACTGGTTAGGCAAAAGAATGGGATGCCGAAGGAGGACAGGGCAGAAGAGAAACAAACAGATCTGACAGATCAGTGTGTCTGCATAGATTCCCATTTCTGTTGGCTTCTCTCTCTTCTAATGATGGAATGGTATGATTAGATGGCAGAGGATGATACAAAGTGTTGTCTGGGACCAGCAGCATCAGCTTCTTAGAAATTCAGATCCTCAGGCCCTATCCTAGACCTACTGATTCAGAACCTCTGGGGGCAGTGCCCTGGGATGGGTGTGTTTACTAGTTCTCCGGGTGATTGTGATGCTCACTGAAGTTTGAGGATCCTTGTCAGAGTATATATGTGATTGAAGCAGAGAATCTGGATAAAGTCTATAGATGTGTTTTCCTTTCATAATTAGGTGGGGGTGGGGGAGGTAGTCCAACATCAAAGCCCTCCTATATAACAATGGGGGGTGAATAACTTAAGCGTTTTTATGGAGAAAAGACAGAGATTCCAAGAAAAGAATATATATGCTAGAAAAATCAGAGAGAAGAATGTTATTCAGTCATTTGAATCAGCATTAAAAATGAAGTCATTCTACCTTGCTGTGCATTTGAGACAGTGGCTGTAACAATTACAGAGGAATGCATATGATACGGTAAATCTTAGATCAACCGTGTGTTTCTCTCACATGTTAGGCTCTTCAGGATGCCTTGCAGATCGAGTGTTCTTCGTTTTCTGAGGACTATTTGGGGAAGTCGGAAATGAGGTGCAGCCACGAAGAGATGAGGACACAAATGGAAGTTCTCAAACATCAGGTGAGAAGTTGGATGTGGCATGATCATATGGAAAACATAGGGCCCATTGTTCATGCCTCTTTAGACATTTTTTAATGTCTTGCTGTTGAACACGTTTCAAAGATTCTTGCATTTATTTCAGTTAGAATTATCTAATTTTAAAGCTTGATGGAAAAATACAGATCAGCAAGTCCAACTCCTACATTATGTAAGAGGCAATTGAGCTTCACGTGAGTTACAAGTTTTGTCCAGGATCACAGAGTTAAAACAAGAGCATACTAATTAACATTTCAGTGAGATACTATTAGTACTTGGTCTAGAGACTTTCATACAGATGCAATTTATTTTGAAAATGCTATTACCTCAAACTCTGGACCTTTTAAAAGAATGGTGGGTGCCCTAGAAGCAGGGCTGTGATTCTGCAGCTGCCAACCTCTGGGCCTTTGAACAATGAGGACAGCTGTAAAAGAAATGCTCTGCAATGATTATCATCACCGAAGATCTAGGTCTGCTCAGCTACCCCCACATATGGATGGCACCACCTACCAATTTATTGATGCTCAGCAGCCTCCCCTCCACACTAACTCAACCTCACCCACTGCTGCCAAGTGGACAGCAAGGGAAATGATGCAGATTCTCTGCAGCTTCTGCATGTATTAGCAACAGAGAGTTGTGGGGCTATAAACAAAAAAAAACAAACCTGTTGCCATCCAGTCAGTTACCCTATGGTGACCCTATGTGTTACAGCGTAGAACTGAGCTCCATAGGGTTTTCTTGGCTGTAATCTTTACCGAAGAGGTTCACTAGGTCTTTCTTCTGTGGAGCTACTGGGTAGATTCAGCTGCCAACCTGTAGGCAAACTGCTTGTAGCACCCAAGGACCTTGGGGGCTATAGCACTGCCTCAACTTAAAGACAAAACAAAACAAAAAATCTATGGTCCTTGGTGTGTTACAGAGTGGAACTGGGTCTGAATTTAATTCAGCCAGCTTAGCTGGAGTTCCTTTAGCTGAGGAGTCACCCATGCATATCACTTATCTTTTCCTGTGAGAGGTTAAATGAACTAACGTAGGTAAAGGGCTGCAACAGTGCATTGCAATATTGATAAACCCAGGATACACATATGAATCTCAATCATATATGAATCTCAATCCCTGAAGAACACCTTGTCAGTTACATGTTAGGGGGTGGGAGCAAGAGTATCCTAGAACAAAGAGCTGGAAAGTGTTGTTCTGATGTCCTTGGATATGATTTGTTGGCTGATTTGCTCCAAGCAAGCATCAATTACAAGATTTGTTGGATGTATCAAGCAATTCTGTTATTATTTTTGTTATGTACTTTGCTGTTATAACGTCAAAGGACATAACCTATTTGTAAATAAGCCTAAATAATTGAGAGCACGTGATGACAAAGTTGGGTTGTTTATTTTGCCAACCCTATCTGAATAATCTGAGTAGCCTTGGTGGTATAGTGTTTAAGCACTCAGCAGCTACCAAACGGTGAGCGATTGGGACCCACCAGCTGCTCCCCAGGAGAAAGATGTGGCAGTCTGCTTCTGTAAAGACTTACAGCATTAGAAACTGTCTGGGCCAGTTCTACTGACCCTTTCACATAGGGTCACTATGAGTTGGAATCAACTGGGCGGTAATGGTTAAAAAAAGTCTGAATAATCTGCTTCATTACATTCCAGATTAAATATATAGCTTAAAAATAAACCCGTGAAGAGGAGCAGAGTAATAATTCAGTTTTAAAGCTCGGCCAGATTCGCAACCCTTAGAGCACTTGTGGTGTTAGCCAGGATTTTTCTATTAAAAAACCCCACTTGTGTCCAGACACTTGAGTCATCTTCGGTGCCCTCATATAATATGCACCACATGCAAGAGAATCACGCTTACACATGGCGTCCACAGTAATGGGTTAGCTCATATTCGATACAGACAGTGACAGGCATTCTTTATTTCACCGTCCCCCGAGGGAAGACCACAATCTAGCTCCTCGGTTTTGTCCGACTCTACTGCAGACTTTCTGCATACACATTTTAACTGCACACAAGTAACCACGTGCCTAGTGAAACACTAAAGGATTTAAATTCACCAAGAAACTGAGCTAGAATCTTGGCCCCCACCTGGCTAAAGTAGTGACATAGCCATCAGTACTGTGTTTGATAAAGAGTGCTCAGTTCTGATTGGTTGGGTTTCTCCCACTTAAAATGCCTCTGGAAATGGTTTACAGAGGATTAGTTTAACTGTGTCTGTAACTGACCCTCAGCTCTCAACCAAAATGTCAGCTATACTAGGTATATTTTCCTTGCAATGCTTCTTGTGAATAAAGCCTTAAAAATAAAACACGTATATCTGAATTTAAAGCTATATAAAAATGTTTAATTTCTTTCCCTTTTGCCTATTGCATTTTGTCCTATGATTATTCATTCAAAGTTGATAAGCATTAAGTTTTGCTACACTGTTGATGATTATCTTCGTTTCCTAGTGCTGCTATAACAGAAATACTCTATGTGGGTGGTGTTAATGAACAGAAATTTATTTTCTCACAGTTTAGGAAGCTAGAAGTCCAAATTCAGGGCACCAGCTTTAGGAGGAGGCTTTCTGTCTCTGTTGGCTCTGGGGAAAGGAAGGTCCTTGTCCCTTTTTAGCTTCTGTTTCTTGGTTCCTGGGTGATCTTCACGTGACTTGGTATCTATCTTCTCCCATCTATGCTTCCTTGCTTCGGTGCCTTATTTGCTGTTTTATATCTCAAAAGTGATTGGTTTAAAACACACTCTATGGATATGGCCTCCTTAACATAACAAAGAAAACTCTATTCCCAAATGGGATTATATCCACAGGTATAGAGGTTAGTATTCTAACATATATTTTAGGTAGACACAATTCAATGCATAACAGTGACAAAGGTGCAATATGCTTTAGTGTTAACAGACAAAAATCTAGCTTCTAGGTTGCAGGGTACTTACTTAAATCAGGGTCTTAGAGGAATTCGTTTGCTTCAGAGCAAACTTATTCTCTAAGTTTAATTTGTTTTCATGGCTTCACATGCCATTCTTCAAGCCATCAGTTCAATTAAACACAACAGGAACAATTAAATTTGTTTTTCTTTTTAGTTTGGTCACTTTTCAGGAATATTTGGAGTACCTCTAAAGAAGCATTGCACTAAAATAGTACTATATTTTCTCTTTTTATATAGTATATTCCCACAATTTCTTATAAAGAACAACCCTGGTGAATACCTGTTAACAACCATGCTTTGTCTTCCCACGTACATCAGCCTTTGTTTCTATTTTGTGCTCAACTCAGAATTCATATTTGGAAACTCCAGCATGTCAGTATTCAATGGCTTCATTTAAGAGCTCTTGTCAGTAAACTGTCCTTTAGAACATCAAGCAGTATTCATACATCAAAGCCTTGTGTTATGGATGGATGACTTGTTCCAAAACAGTGACACGTATATTAGGCAGGGAGTTCATCACAATAACGGGGTGTGCAGCAGAATGATGGGTAAGAGGAATTGTTTTTTCAAAATATGCACGTATTACTTTACTTCTGAGTTTCTGACACACGCTCAGGGAGGAAAAGGTTGCAAACTACCACTCTAAACAAAGTGAAAGATAAAAATCAAAGTCATACATGTCATGGGGTTGGTATCCAGTGTCACAAAACAATATGTGTACTGTTTAATGAGAAGCTAGTTTGTTCTGCAAACCTTCATCTAAAGTTCAATTTAAAAAAAAAAAAAAAGAATTCCTGTAAGTACATTTAAGCTTTCTTGGTGTACAAAAATTACAATTGTTTCATAATTGACACTATGGAGCAGTTCTGCTCTGCACACATGGTGTCGCCGTGAGTCGGAATAAAAAAAAATCAAAGTCGCACGTATCAGGATGGAGTCCCGCTATGAATCAGTATTTATGAAAAGAGGGTAAAATGCCTCAGATTGGAAAGACCTAGATACCATCCCTTCTGAAATCATTTAAGAATGGTTTAAGAGAAAAGGAAAGTTAGCAGTAACCATAAGCTGGTATTTCCTAGGTGCAAATATATGAAGAAGACTTCAAAAAGGAACGTTCAGACCGAGAAAGACTCAACCAAGAGAAAGAAGAGCTGCAGCAAATTAATCAAACGTCTCAATCCCAGTTGAACAGGCTGAATTCTCAGGTATAAGTCAAAACCAAACGATTTTTGCCAACACATGTGCATTTTATTTTTATTTTCTCATTTAAAAAAAAAAAAAACAGACTTTTTAGCTTCCTTTAATTGACATTGTAATTTTTGAGAGCTCGGCACCTGGGATGAAATCATTCCTAAACAAGGCTGTAAGGAGATGAAAATGATTGGAGGTTCCTTTTAACTGAAGTGGGTTAAGGAGTTACCCAAGAAACTGTGCATTCCAAGGACTTTTACAAAATCCAGTTCTTTTGATTTTTTTCTCATAATATTGATCTTGGTAGAATGGGATTTGAACTATATAGTACTCAAATTTAAACTCAAAACATTCCAGTACAGTGAAGTGGTTTCTAAATTCTTGTCATTTTCTTTGAAGGGCTATATTGGAATGTTCCTGTCTTCCAAAAGCATACATATTTCTAAATGCCGTGTGTATGTCTAGTGAAATCAAGAACTTCATTCAGTGGGTTCACAGATTTAATGTAACCAAAGCACCCTCAAGGAAACAAGATAATGTCAACCAGTTTGTTAGAATAGGATATATTAAATGCAAGCACACTAAAATTAAGTGAATAGAGTACATTAAAAGTAAACTCAGGAAGTAGTCACAATAAATAAATATTGATGTTAATGAAGGAAAATGTAGCTAACACAATTTTGGCTCACGAAAATAAAACAAACCACACAATTTGGGGTTTGAAATATTATGCAATGCTTTTCAGTAAATAGGAAATTATTGTGGGGCATGCTGTGGCTGATCTGTAGCTTCAAGAGTCTTAGTCTTTGAAGAAAACGTAAGCTCTCAGTCAACCTATTATCCCTGTTAGAAAGTTGATTGCAAATTAAATTTAATTTCTTCTCTGACATTTTTCTAAGTATCAACTTGGAAGTCCTAATTTCACATGGAAAAACTCTTTAGCAGAATAATTACCTATGTAGAAATTAGATGGAAAAAAAATTCTTAAAAGTTAATAAGATAATTTTCTGAAAATAATTCATGCAAACTATTCTATATAACAATGAGTGAGAAAATGATCTGATTTATTCTCTGGGAGGAAATCACTCTCTCAGATTTTCTTTCTTGTACACAAAGCTGTCTTAATTTTTTCAGATTGTCACTGTACAAGTTATTTTATTTCCCACCAAATTTTATTCATTCTAGTATATTAATTCAGATTGGAAAAAAATTGATGTCAAAGATTAGCAATATCCTTGCCATTACAGAAGTTTTAGTTCAACTTGGAACACAAATTCATACACTTAAGTTATAGAACTATAACTTAAGTGTAATTTTATTCCTGTGTCCTCTGTAATTTTTGATTGATGTCAACAAAATAAATGTATAGCTTAAGTACCAAAAAAAAAAAAACAAAAAAAAACCAAAGCGATTACTCTTGAGTGGATTCCAACTCATAGCGACCGTATAGGACAGAGTAGAACTGACTGATAGGGTTTCCAAGGCTATAATCTTTATGGGGCACCCAGGTAGCACAGTGGGTAAGAGCTTAGACTGCTAACCAAAAGGTCAACAGTTCAAATCCACCAGCTGCTCCTTGGAAACCCTACAGGGCAATTCTACTCTGTCACATAGGGTCACTATGAGTTGGAATTGACTCATTGGTAACAGATCTGGTTTTCTTTTTAATCTTTATGGAAGCAGATTACCATATCTTTCTCCCACAGAGCGGCTGGTGGGTTCAAACCACCGACTTTTCAGTTAGCGGTCAAGCGCTTTAATCACTGTACCTCTGGTATGGTATAATTGTGCTTATGGACTAAGTGCCAAGTAAAATTGATTATCTTAAAACTATCAAAAATTGTCTTTAAAATAACGATAATCCAATCATTTATTTTTCAAAAGGCTCGTTTACTCTGCTAACAGGATGATACAAATTCACAGAGATATGGTAGACGGTTTGATGATCTATGTTAAATGTACCAACAGTCAATTAAATGCCGTGATACGATAAAAAGAATTGGCATTATTTTATTTGAAAAGCGTATTATCTGTTGTCCAAGTGGACTTTTAAAAGGAATTTTCAGGTCGAATCATTCTGGCATTAGCTGCTTACATACCAGAGATTATTCATACTACCACTGAGGATTTTTTAAAACAAAGATACTCATAAAAGTGATGAAGTGAGAGACTGAGGGATAGGAGGAATTTAGGGGTAAAGACCCTGTTTTGTGCCTGTACTGACAGTCTGGGTGGTAAACTTGAGCAAGTTAATCAACATTTTTATGTCTCCCTTTTTTATTTATGGAGACTTGGTGGCAGTGGTTAAGAACGCGGCTGCCAGTCACAAGTTCAGCAGTTTGACTCCACCAGCAGCTCTTTGGAAACCCTATGGGGGCAGTTTTACTTTGTCTCACAGGGTCATTATGAGTCAGAATCGACTCAACAGCAGTGAGTTTGGTTTTTGGCTTTTTTTTAATCTATAAATGACAGAATTGGACTACATAATCCCCAAAATGTTCCTTATAACCCTAAAGCCTCTATGTCTCTAAAAATAAGTTACTTACCATCCATCAGTATACTAACCTGTAAAAGTATACACGATACCTATCTTACAGATTCACAAAGTTGTTCTCAGAGTTCAGTAAAAAAAAATGCGTCTCGCTCACATCATGGTTCACAGATACTATAACAAATGTTTAACGAATGACTTTAGTTTATTGAAAGGGAACACATTTAACTGTTTCATTTAGCTATATAATTAGCATGCTCCTTTCAGTTCACTGTAATCTAATCTTAATGCTTTCTTTTTGCAAGGAACTCTGCTAAGTGCTGTGAGGGAATACAACCTGGTCTTTGCTATTCTAGGGCTCACAGTGCAGTGAGGGAGACATATACACAGAACAGATCAAATTGTAAGAAGTCACATAGTAAATGTATAACGCTAAAAGGGAGGAATGAAGAAGGAGACAATCCTGATGGGTAGGACCTGGAACAGCATTATATCGGAGGGAACATTTGACCATGCCTTGTAGGGATGAGGAACATGGGAGGTAGGGATGATGTTACCATAACTAGAGAGTCAAAGAAGAACCCACTTTTTCTAGGTATATCAGGTGTGAGGGAAACCAGGGAAGGTGAGGAGGTGAGGTTGGGCCTTAAACAGTGAGAAGCTGTAAAACATAGCAGTGTAACCTTGAACAAGTTTCTCAGCATCTCCATGTCTCAGTTTCCTCATCTATAAAACGGACATAATAACATGAAGTATCATACGGGAGTGTTGGGAGAACTCAGTGAGTTATCATATGCAAATCACTTAGATTAGTATCTGGCCTGTAGTAAGTGACATACAACTTGTAAAATTTATCGTGGAAGTCTTTGAATGCCAGGCTGACCAATTCCAAATTCATTCAGTAAGCAGTGGAAGCTATTAAAAATATAAATATATCAACATAAAGCTGAGAATTATAACCGCCTCAACAAATTGAAGTGACAATTTAGAACTATTCAGTTTTCCAAACTTAATTTGGGCATTTCAAGATAGATTCACTACATATCTGGAAAAAACAAAATGTGGCCGCTTTTTTGGCATTACTGCTATCAGTGCTTCACCCCTTGGGCTTCTAAGTAGGTCACGGACAACTGGGGCAAGAGTAGCTTTGATACAAACCATTTGAAATCTTTTTTGATAAACAAATGCCTTTATTTTGTTCACAGATAAAAGCTTGTCAAATGGAGAAAGAAAAACTAGAAAAGCAATTAAAACAGGTAGGTGGATACTTACCTACGTTCACCAAGCCCTCTTATTATGGTTGAAATGTAACCTTTAGCTTCTACCCACACATCATTCCCATGTACAGCAGTTCCTCATAGTTTAAATTAAAGGCATATACAAACCCGGCTACAGAGGGCCTAGAAAAACTCATGCTTTTCATTATCAACTAAAACATCAGTAGATAGATAGTACATAGGAACCATCAAGTTCTCTCAACCAGAACAGTCATGATAAACGCATGTCTTGCAGAACATGTTACCAGTAGCACAAGCCTCGGTATGTGTTCACTCAAATGGAAATTTCTTCATAGACGCACAAACACCTGGGAAATACATGTCCCTGGTATTTCTTGTAGTAGCCTACACAATTTACAGTGGAAAAGTACATTCAGCACTTTTGCCTCTTTCAAGAAAATAAAATATCTTCTTGGGTATTGAGGCATTTTATCCCATTGGTTCTCTAGTAGTCTAAAAGAATATTATTTCTCTTCATTCCTAATTTCCTCCCTAGAAATGATTTAGTTATGCCATAGGAATCTCAGGCTGCCAATTTAAGAAAACTTATTTTATGGCTTACTGGATGGTTCTTCATAAATGAAAACCCTCTGTGAAGATAGCTAAGAAAATAAAGTTAGCTTCATATACCTTTCAACTGTTGCTAATTTCTTCAAAATGGAAAAATACATAATGTTGTCTACAAAGGTTATAGTTTCACCTTTTATAAAATTTGGCCAGTGAGCCTCATCTGAATCCATACAGAGTTTATAGTGACATGTGTCTTAGTTGGGGTTCTGTGGAGAAACAGGACCAGTGATATAGAGAGAGAGAGAGGGAGAGAGAGAGACAGGAGAGAGGGGGAGAGAGAGGAGAGAAGGAGAGAGAGAGATTTACTTCAGGGTATTGGGTCATCCGGCTGTAGGGGCTGGCAAGTCCAAAATCCATAGGTCAGGAAGCAGGCTGGAGACTTCTGCAGGCTTGTGTCCCAAGATCCATAGGTCAGGTGATGAGAAGAGTGCAGAGTAGCGAGAACGAGTAAGTTCTGCCAAAATATCTATTTATAGAGTGGAGGCAGATCACGCCTTAAGGAAGCTCCCCTTTCAACTGATAGATTGTTGGTGGTGGTGGTGTCATCGAGTCAATTTAGACTCTCATAGTGACCCCATGTGACAGCCCATAGGGTTTTCCTGGCTGTAATCTTTACAGAAACAGATCACTAGGTCTTTCTCCTGGGGGACCACTGGGTGGCTTCGAACCACTAACCTTTCAGTTAGTAGCTGAGCACTTAACCATTTGCTCCACCAGGGCTCCTACTGATTGATTACATTACATTATATTACATAATAGAAGACGAGTACATTACATTGCATTAGATTACATTATGGAACAGCAACTAGTCTAATATTTGGCCACACCACTGGGAACCATAGCCTAGCCAAGCTGACACATAAAATGAACCATCACAACATGCTTACTAGTTTGAATTAGAATTATTCCATGTTTAGGCTAAACCTTGAGAGTTAAACAAAACCTTGTTGTTATATAAAGCAAGTGTCAGTGTGAGTCCCTAATTTCACCTACTTCCAGTGAACTGACAACATGATTCTCCTCAGATGAATTTCCCAATCTGTAACTGTGGCTTGGTTTTCCACCCCCGGGATCCATGGGTACCAGCCGGCTCTGGGGCTGTGCAGGATCTACGGACGCACCTGGTATGTAAGAGTTTACATTTAAACACAAACATGCTTAATACTCTCTTTTGGTAAAAATGTCTGCTCTAGAATTCTGACACATAGTGTTGTCTACAGAAAGAGCCTCTATTTTATTTCAACCTCTAATTTGTAGAGTTACAGGGGTCAGTATACACTATAATTATCTTTGGCACACTGTGTCCACTGGATGCACAGATATGAGTAAATAATTGAAAGATATCAAATTGAGCTATAATTCATCAAATGAAATATAACATTGTTTATGTGTCATAGGAAACCCTGGTGGCATAGTGGTTAAGAGCTACAGCTGCTAACCAAAGGGTCAGCAGTTCGAATTCATCAGGTGTTCCTTGGAAACCCTATGGGGCAGTTCTACTCTGTCCTTTAGGGTGGCTATGAGTCGGAATTGACTCGACAGCAGTGAGTTTGGTTTTTTTAAATATGTGTCATTATTAATGACACACCTGACTTACCAAAAAGACATTTGTATGTATAAAGAAAGGAAAGTGGATATAGCAAAACAGTCTGAGAGATACTATAATGCTGCCTTTATAAAGTTGTAAATTTATATTGAACTATTATGGATATTGCTACATCTGTATAAAATAGTTTTTGACAATTTCCAATTGAAGGGATTTTTTTTAAGGATCCAAGAAAAAGTGACCCACTTAAGTTTTTCTCTATGGCTGTGTCTACCCACGCAAAATGAAATTATGTGTGAGTGGAATTGTTATGGGCAGTCAACCTGAATGAGTCAGCCCAAAAGCACCTTTCCTTTCCTCCTCAATAGTAATGTCCCACCCACCCTTCTCCTGTGGTCTGGATTCTTTACTCTCTATCTTACCTACAAAGACCTATGGAGAAAACAATGCATTTTTCTCATTTTGGATTTGCTCAGACAATTCCCCACAACACTTAGCTTTTATTAACCATGTTTCTAATTTGCAAAGAATCTCTGAGATGAGATTATAGCTGAGATTTCCCTAGCAGAGTATTCATGGAGAACATGGTTCTGTTGGTGGTCTGAAACCTCTCATACATTTGTATCTGAGTGTGACTCAAAGCCCTTTTCCCAAGGGAGGAGATAATGACTCCCTGGGTGGTGGGAGGATCTGAGAGTTTAATGAGCATCTCTTATTTGACCCCGGTGGGACACAGAATACTGCTGAGAACTTTGTTCTTTTTCTGTGATTGTCTAGTTGCTCCTTCTGTCTGTTCTTCCCCCCCCCATTTACTTCTTTTTTCTTTGGTTGTGGAACATATTTATAATAATAAATTTGCCATTTTAACCATTTTACGTGTAAAATTCAGTAACATTAATTATAGTCACCATGTTGTGCAACAATCACCACTGTACGCGCCCAAATTTCTTCATCACCTCAAAGACTCAGTACTCCTTAAGCAATAACTCTTACTCCCTCCTTTCCACCCCAGTAAACAGTTATCAACTTTAGTCTCTAAGTATTTGCCCATTCTAGTTATTTCATGTAAGATCATACAATACTTGTCCTTATGTGTCTGACTTCTTTCATTCAGCATAATATTATCAAGGCGTATCCATGTATCAGAACTTCATTTCTCTTTATGGCTGAATAATACTCCATTGCATCCGTGGCCGTCAAGTTGACTCCAATTCATAGTGACCCTGTAGGACAGAGTAGAACTGCCCCATAGGGTTTCCAGGGAGCACCTGGTGGATTTGAACTGCCGACCTTTTGGTTAACGGCTGAACTTTTAACCACTACGCCACCAGGGTTTCCGTTCCATTGTATAGATGTGCCATATTTTGTTTATCCATTCATTTGTTGATGGACGCTTGGGTTGTTTCCACCTTTTGGCTGTTGCCAATAACGCTGCAATGAACATTGGCGCACAAGTATGTTCCTTTTTTCCTTTACCTCTCTGCTTGCTTTTTAATCTTCACCAGAAACATATCTGGGAATCTCTGAACACAGCTATAATTCTTTAAACATCTTTTCAAGAACTTAGAGGTGAAGTGAGATTGAGAGAAACATAAAGAGATAGACATTTACTTAGGAATTACCTCCTGCAGTTTGGGGAATTGGAGAAATATTCTTGTGAAAGGTTAACTATAAAACTAAAGAGTCATTCGCATTTATCTAGGAGTAAAAATGATTGTTTTCTTTAAACCTTCATTCGTGGAAGGAAGAAAGGAATTCAGCCACTATAAAAGCTTATCAAACTTTCCCTATCCATTAGAGAAATAATGCGGTCCAAGTAAAAATTATCAGCAAATAAAGGTCCATATTTGAAAAAGCATTCCAAGCCATATAAATTGACCTTTTTGTTTTTTTTAATAGTATTCGATTAAACAAAATCTTTCTATAACAGTGGGATTTATAAAAACCCTTAATTTTAAAAGACTATCAAAGTCTGAATTAAATCACATGCAATAGTGTTTTTAAAATTACAGTATATTTACCTTCTTTGGGCAATTCTCCTGCAATATAAAACTGAGGCTCACATCACTGATCTTCTGTGTTATTTGAGACATCTAAAAATACATGAGAAGATAAAAAACAGAAGTGATCTCATTTCCTCTTTCAGTTTTTTCGTAGACCAAAACGAGCCAAGAGTCTAGGTGTTTGAACGGGGGTAAAGTGGGGTCAGACTCTACTGTTTCTCTGTGGCCTGCCGGGTAATTGAACTTTTTGGCCACTGTGAGTGTTTTGGCAGCCCTCTGAATGTTCCCCATTGGCTCACTGTGAGAGAAATTCTCCTGAGTTATTTTTGGGAAGTAATTGAATAAGGGAACAGAAGGCCTGTATTCTCGGTGTCTTGTGAGGAAGTACGAGGCTGGGGTGAGGCTTTGGAGCAGGAAGACGGACCAATTTTGTAGGCAAGTAAAGCTGAGATTGTTCCATTGTTCCAAGTGGTTAAACACAAAGAGACTGGCCTTGGAACTGTATCTTGATAATTCAGGTCTTGAGCTTATTATTTATTCGGTGCAATTTGTTTAGCATGTTCCTTGACGTTCAATATCTAGCTGTTCAATATCTAGCTGGTGTAAACGTCGGAGAAAATCTGAAGAGAAAAATCTTGAAGTTCTCCCCTCTCCTTGCTCCAGCAAATCACTGGCTGTCTAGTCTAAACTATCTGAGTGAATTAGAGAATAGTTTCTGCAGAGAAACAGTAAAAAGGAAAAGGTTTGCTTTGCTTCACCATCCTGAACCTCTATACACCACGTCCCTATATAATGGCTTAGATTTCTTCTGGAAACCTCTTAAACTTGGTTTGTTTGTTTTTTGTTTTTTTATTACTGGTCTTCCCATTGTCTCCAGTGTAAGTGTTTTAAAGAGTATTTGTTGATGGTAAATTGCTTCGTTTTATTTATGGCTATAGTTTAAGTTGTACAAAAGTGTTTATACTTCTGCAGATCTCTAAAAATATCTGTTTAAAAAAAAAAAGAAAAAAAAAACATGCCATAATGCCAAAGTAGTAGAAATTCCGGCCAAACACCAGGCGGATTTAGGAGGGTGTAGGGGGAGATGGTGATAGTGACAAGGAGGGGTAAGAGGGATGCATGAGACTGGCAACAGGTTTGGATAGAAATTACTTTTGTGTTGCCTGCATAATAAAAACCACATCATACAATTATATTTTTAATGTGCCACTATGTTTTGTTTGAAGTCTATATTGCCATAATAATGTTTTATTGTTCCACACAGCCGGACTATCAGTGGTATGCTCCTGACCAGTTTCCGCCAGATGTGCAGCACAAGGCAAATGGTAAGACCACAGCTGTATTGAGCATTCTTTCATGTTTACATTTTAATGGAATCTTTTTGGGGGATGTTTACTCAGTGCACATTCGTTCATACTTGGGGAGGGCTTACTATAAAGTCTCGGTGCATACACAACTCTAATTTGATGCACCTGGGGTTAAATTGAACTCCTCAGGAAAAAGAAAAGGTTCGAATACAGAAATGCATGAATCTCAATTCTGGCCTCCGTTCCTATTCCAGTCTCAGAGTCAGTATTCCATCTGGGGTTGGAAATGAAAACTTGTAGCAGAGCTGTTTTGTAATAACGACAACAAAGCTCTGTGATTCCACTACAAAGGACAGATGAACATCCACTCTTCCAGGCTGAGTTTGCTAGACAGATGTTTTAAGTGCCACTGGCAGACAGACAGAGGAAACCAGAGGCTCAGCACTGTGCTCCCTAATGAATAGATGTCAGACTTCAAGGCAATGCTCTTAGCGTAGGCCAGCTTGCCCACAACACCCACCTTGAAGTATGACGGGAAAAACTAAAAGTCACCTAGAAAGCACTCATAATTATGAGTACTCTTCTATCTTATTTTTCTCTGGTGTACCATTCCCCTCCTTCTTTTCAGAATCTGCTATATTTTCTACCGCTTGTTTCTGTGGCCTTGGGAGACCACCCAGGAGTGGGATCTATAAACCGGGCTATAATCATAATCCCACTCTATGCTCATCACATATATTCAAAAGTCAGCAATGTCTGCTACCTGTTTAAAATCTCTTATGACACACATCTGTTAATCTAACTAGTTCACTTCTAAAGATATGAATCCACCTGGAAATGCTGAAGATGAGTGATATTCTGATTTCAAACTATGCTTGAAATTGCATCTCATTTAGCTCAGAGTTGAGATCATAGAATTCTAGTGTTTAGTACAAGGGCTCCACGATGGAGTAGAAGTTGGCAGCCAGAGCTGCCACAAGTAGTTCTGCAGGTTATGAAGTCCCAGTGGCTCTTAATAGTAGTCTATGTGAATGGAGCTTTCTGGGGTTGTACAGTGCCCAACCTGGACAGCGGTACACAGCAGCCTAGGAGGGGCAAAAGCCATAGCTTACAGTAGCATCATAAGGAAGAAATGTAAAAAGTGAGAAATCTATAATAAAACATCCAGGTATTTATCAGAAACCTATAGATGTTCTCTTTTCTTTTCTTGCTATTACAAATATAACCATTGGTTTTAATGAAGTTCTTGTGTTCCATCTATAATGGAAAGGTTTTGTCAAAAAGGCATGCTAGTAACCATAATGATTGTTACATAATGGCTGTGTTTTTTAAATCCATGTTGTATAATTGCTGAGTTACCATCCAATTATAATTTTCCATTTTATATTGGTCTAGAATGAATATTAAAGACATTTCCCTCCTGAGTTGGAGTTTAATCACTAGAAAATACAATTACTCAGTAGAGAATTCAGTAATATTCAAAAGACCATTTATTTATCACTATTGGATTGTACTTGAACCAATGTTACAGAAGCTAATAATTATATAAAATAGAAATGAGTTGTGATGACCTTCAGAAACTAAATAAAATGTGCCCAAATGAAATTTTGTAGTCAGTGTATGAAAACTGCTTATTTTTGTCTATTTGGGAAGAAATAACGAGCTTTCTAATATATTAACGTACTGTGTGACAGTATCCACAAAGGTAAAATTACAGTACAATATATGCTTCTATTATGTTAAAACATAAATATTTTAAATGTATTATTTATTTTAATCTTTGTAACAGTGCTATATAGTAGGTTTTATTATTACAGCATTTTACAGATGAGAAAACTGAAGCTTGGAGAATTTAAGTAATATGCCTAAATCACACAGTCAGTACGATTTAGTACAGGTGTAATTTAATCGAAACCTGTGGTTTGGGTCACATACTACAATGTCTCTGATAATCTATCCCTCTCACTATATTAAAATATTCTAAAATTATAAGATATAAAAACGAAGAGTGGGTCTTTAACTTGGATGATTGCATGACTAATGTCTTAACCCTCTATAATCTCTTCTTCCTATAAACTCACAGCGTATATTATCTGTGCTATTCATTTGACATGTAGGCTATAACCAGTAAAAGACAGAGCTATGTAAGCGTGAGTGTGTAATAAAGATGTTCTGAGCAAATCCAGGCAGATCTGGTGGAACTCGACAGGGTGTATTAGTTTCCCAGGGCTGCTATAAGCAAGGACTAAACAAACTGGGTGACATGGAATAACAGAAATGTATTGTCTGACAGTTCTGGGGCTAGGGGTCTGAAATTAGGGTGTTCAAAGAACCATGCTGTCTCTGAAGCCGCGAGGGGAAGAGCCTTTCTTGTCTCTCCCAGCTTCTGGTAGCCCCCGGCGTTTCTTGGCTTGCAGCTGCAGTATCATTCCGTCTCTGCCTCTTCTTCACATGCCATCTCCTTCTCTCTGTCTCTGTCCCCTTGTCTTTTCTCCTCTTCGTAAGAACACCAGTCATATTGGATTAGGACCCACCCAACTCCAATCTGACCTCCTGTTAACCTCACTGATACCATCTTCAAAGACCTTATTTCTAAACAAAGTCAAATTCACAGGGTCTTGGGGGCTAGGAGGGAGCCCTGGTGGTGAAGTGGTTAAGCACTTGGCTATTAACTGAAAGGTCAGCAGTTCGAACTCACCATCCGCTCCATGGGAGAAAGATGTGGTAGTCGGCTTCTATGAAGATTTACAGCCTTGTATATCCTATAGGGCAATTCTGCTCCATCCTATGTTATTGTTAGGTATCCTCGAGGCGATTTCGACTCATAGTGACCCTATGAACAACAGAACAAAATACATTGTCCGGTCCTGTGCCATCCTCAGAATCATTGCTATGTTTGAGCCCATTGTTGTAGCCACTGTGTCAGTCCATCTCGTTGAGGGTCTTCCTCTTTTTCGCTGACCCTCTACTTTACCAAGTATAATGTCCTTCTTCAGGGACTGGTCCCTTCTGATAACACATCCAAAGTATGTGAGAAGAAGTCTCCCCATCCTTGCTTCTAATGAACTTTCTGGCTGTATTTCTTCCAAGACAGATTTGTTCGTTCTTCAGGCAGTGCGTGGTATGTTCAATATTCTTCACCATATTTCAAAGGCATCAATTTTTCTTCAGTCTTCCTTATTCACTGTCATTACATATTTTAAAAGGTATGGTGGACAATGTGTGATTAAAATTGAATGATACCACTAGGCCCTCTCTACCATGCCCCAGGTGTGGGGCAAGAATACAAATGGAGACCTGCAGCCTATATATCCAAATATTTGTAAGTTATTAATCAAACTTATGAACTGATTAAGTACATTTTCTCCTCCTACCTTAATAAATGAAGTTCCTGTGTGGCGTAAACTGTTAAGTTCTAGGCTACTAACTTTGAATCTACCCAGAAGCACCTAGAAAGAAAGGCCTGGCATCTGCTTCCAAAAATCAGCCATTCAAAATGTTATGGAGCACAGTTATACTCTGATACACATGGGGTCTCTGTGAGTTGGAATTGACTTGATGGCAATTGGTTTTTGACCTTGATAAATGGCGTGGAAGTCCAGAATCAAATTTGGAATTCTCAGATTCTTCCCAGTTCTGAACCAGAAGGTGGTGGCACAGGGAGAAGTGAGCCCTGGCCCTTGTCTGTAACCCCTTTCCCCCTTTTCTCTTCCCATCTTCCCACTTCCATGGGCCTTGAGTGTGGACCTTTAGCCTGCACTTGAAGACAGCCCAGCCAGCACATCACTGTTTGGGGAGAGCGCTGCCTTCCCTTCAAGGAACTGAAAACCTGTTTTGACTTTTGTTCAGATTTCCATTCTGCCATGGCTTATTTTATGGACCACAGCCTCTCTATCTAAAATATGGGATAATGACCTTTGTCTCTGTACCTACTTCATAAGACTACTGTAAAAAGGAGTTGAGTTTTTAAATATTTCAGATTACCTAGGAATAAAACCAAACCCATTGCCGTCGAGTTGATTCCAGCTCATAGCGACCCTACAGGACAGAATAGAACTGCCCCATAGGGTTTCCAAGGAGCATCTGGTGGATTCGAACTGGCGACCTTTTGGTTAGCAGCCGAGCTAATAGATTAAATCTAAACTTCGGATTGATTAAATCAGTGGCTTATATCTCTCAATTGACACTTACGTTCTCAACCTAGTAGATGTCTTTTTAATGTAATGGCCAAAATAGTTCTCATCAGCACATTTTTTTAAGCCTGGAAAAGTAACTTATTATCTTTCTGTTTGCTTTTTTGTTACCAACATGTTAGTTTAGCTCATTTATACATATTATGTATAACATATTATGTAATATATATATCAAATGCAGGTAGAAAACATTTAACATATTTTTAAGTTGTTAACATGAATAAGGAAAACACCATTTCTTGGCATTTCGATGATTTTTTATTCTTTTTCTGTTGCCATGAGTCTTGATTTTGTCTTCTTTGTCATGCTCATCATTGTCATTCTACCCTGGTCCTACTATTATACAAATTTTTCATACTGGTCTTCAGAATACACTAACACATTTTAAGAACAGTGATCCTTCCTGTGGCTTTGACAATAGTATACACAGTACCATACTTTAAAGAGTAGTTTATTTGGCAAGTTAACTTTCACTGGGGTAAGTTTTACTGAACCTAATAGCACCATATATGACTTGCTTTCATAAACAAATGCTCGAGCACTGAAATGCCACCAAGAAGTACTATAGAACATTCTTCTTCAAGCATGATTAGAACTAGGCCACAATTCACAAAAATAGACAGCATATGTCAGTGCTTACCATAATAACCCTCCGTTTCCCGCCTCTTGATTTCTCAGCGTAAACTTGGGGGGAGCTCATGAATTAAATCTCTTTTGTTTTGCCAGCCTAGACATTGATGTTAGCCCTGAGCCAAAAGCAGATACATGAAGTTTGAATTTTTAATCTGAAACATTTTCCTACTTTTTTTTTTCCCCCCATAGATTTCTCCTCTGAAAATAAAGTCAATCAGTAGAAGCAGATGCCAACGTAGAAGCACAATGGACAGGAAGAAGCTTGGCTGAAGATCCCTCTTTTTTTTACTTTTTACTGTGGCTTGTTTCTACCACAACTGCACATCATCTCCTCTATTATTTGTGCCTGGTAATGGTTTCCTTTGGAGTGGCTAAAGGAAAAGGCTTCTGACAACTGAGACCCTGATAAGTCCAAGGAGTCCGTTATTGTACAGTCAAGCAGGACAACGCACAGTTTGCTTGAGATAACATATCGCAGATAAAATATGTGCCACTCCTTGAAACTGTCTTCAGCATATTGTTGCTGGATTTACAAAGATGATTCCATGATTTAAGCAACTCCACTTTTGGTGCAGTGATATTGCATGTCGATTTAAAGTATATTCATATATATTCCCTGGGGGAAAAGTTTCTACTGTTGTAAATTTTTTACAGCGCGCTCCCATTTTTTTCATAGGGGCTTGATTCTTTCGCCAGTTTTGTTTGTTCGTCATTGTTGTTCTCTGTGAACTTATCGATCGGATTGGAGAGGTGTACATAGTTTTTAAATTAAATGAATTCAATCTGAATAAAATGGTGAACTGGAAACTGTTCTTGAAACAGAGAATTTTTATAAATGGATAAGAAATTGTGAGCCAAGTTCATTTTTCAGTGAAATAGGTTACGAAAGATAAAATCCTGATGTAATGGTGATGGCCTTGTGGTGTTCATATATATTTATTGAGCTATTTCAAAGATACATGAATTGCTGGCGGAGTCTGTGTTTTCCTTCATATGGCTTTGTGTAATGATTAATGAAAAACATAGTTCTAACTTCTCTAACCAATTAAAATGGTAAACTGATGTATCCATGTTTTACTGTAATTAAATTCTACAGTGGTGTGACAGATGTCTAAAGATTAAGCAGATTTAAAAGCATTGTGTTCAACCACATAATAAGGATTCTGCTAGGACCAACTGAAGATCCTCTTTTTGGGGAGATGTATAATGGGTGTGAAATCTATGTCAGACACAGATACCTGTGTTTTTAGAAGTACCTGAAGAATTTCCAGGAGAATCAGCTGCATATGCAGTTAAAGAAAACAATCCAGACATACTGCTGAGACTATCTAACCCAACTTCTGGAAGTTATGTTGCTCAATTGCAGCTCAAACTATTTTGTTTCACTTTCTGGAAACACATAAAGCTCTATGTTTTGGAAAGGTGAAAGAGCCTAAAAAATTAAATATTTTCAGCCTCAGTCTTTGACTTCTCTGGAAGAATTATCTGTCTCTTGCATTAATTCCCTAAAGCTTTGTTGTTGCTGTTGCTAGGTGCCCTCGAGTCAGTTCCGACTCATAGTGACCCTACGTACAACAGAACGAAACACTGCCCAGTCCTGCACCATCCTCATGATCGTTGTTATGCTTGAGCCCATTGTTGCAGCCACTGTGTCCATCCATCTCATTAAGGGTCTTCCTCTTTTTTGCTAACCTTCTACTTTACCAAGCATGTTGTCCTTCTCCAGGGACTGATCCCTCCTCATAACATGTCCAAGTACACTTAGACGAAGTCTCACCATCCTCACTTCTAAGAATTCTGGCTGTACTTCTTCCAAGACAGACTTGTTCATTCTTCTGGCAGTCCATGATTGTTTTTGCTACTATTTATCAAAGAGACAAATCATTCTTGGGCAACATTGCAGTAAAGTTGAATCAGAAAAAAAAAAAAAATGTTAACAAATCAACTGCATTGAAACATTTCAGTTTTTTTTAAAAAAATTTTATTTCCTCGGATTAGTGAAAAAAGTCATTGCAATATCAATTTGCAACGGTGAGTTAAGCTTGCTAATTGCAGTGTGCCCACCAGAAAAAAAAACTGAACATAAATACAAGAACATACCCCTTGATACGTTCATTACAGGTCAATTCAACAGCAGTAAAACATGATTTAACTACCCAGTCTGAAGTCATCTTATTACTAATTAGCAAGCAGCCAAACATTGGCAAGATTGTGCAAATTCTAAGGTAATGGAAGAAAATCCAATTAAAATGGGACCTAATTTAATTTGAACTCCCTGTGGGTAGCTACAAACGTGGGCAGAGGAGCCCTTTCTCCGAGTGTGTCTTTCCAAAGAGATTGATTTCTACAACTCTGGCCTTAGAGTCAGCCAGTCCCTCCTTGTGCCCCTCTCCCTGTATCATTTGTTCTGAGGCTTCTCTGACTGGACTAATTATAAAGGTAATACTCCTCAGCTGTGGCACTTCATTATCACACGCAATTTGTGGGAATTATATGATGAATAGCTATATCCCTTTGAAAGGAGAAGTTCACAGTCACTCTTTCTTAGGAAATGCAAACTAGGCATATTTTAGGTTTTGGGTGACTGGGTAGAATTTGATCTTTGACTTGAAAGGATTTAAATAAAGAGATTTATTCACTTTGTGTTGACTGTGAGGTAAGGTGAAAACCTTCCTGGAGACAAGTTAGGTCTGGGAGTCAGTACAACCTCTGCTACTCACTAGCTGATTTTTTTTGAACCCCATTTTCCTTACTAACAAAAAGAATACTTTGGACTAAATTGCCAGCATTATTAACATGGACTGACTTCCAGATGGTTTTTCTTTATTTACTGAGCTCAATCACTCAACAAGGAGGCATAATTACTCCCTTGTTACAGATGATTAATCTGGGGCAAAGAGAGAGTCTGTGATTTCCCCAAGGTCCCACAACAAGTAAATGGCAGAACCAGAATTCAAAATTGCCTGAGCCAGGGTTTCCCAGTTCTCTGCATGCTATACTTCTGCTTTCTAGATTGTGCTAGCAAGTTGTACACTTCTATGGATCTGATTTTTCATCAAGGTGCATTACAGGAGCATATTTATTAAGAGAGAACACTTGGATAAGAGAAAATCCTACGTATTGTATGGAACGTGTACATCATTGCCTGAGTTAAGAAAACCAGATAGTCTATGTCATTTAGACTACTACATGGCATTTACTACACTATGATTCTTCTTTCCCTGGCTCAGATTCATTTAGACTCCAATTACGTAGCTTGAAAGAAAAGAAAATCTTTGCTATAATCCCTACTTTTCAATAATTTTCTAATTAATTCCCTTTGCCTAGTTTCTTTTATATATGTATATACCTATATCTACCTTTTCACCTTCTACAGACTTTTGCTCCAAGAGGGAGAGGTGTTATGGGGAACACTTATACCCACAGCCTTTGTGATTCTATAGAAAAGAAAATTTCTGCCAAACACAAACTCTCTCACACACACACCACATACACACCACACACATCTATCACATATATACACCACACATACACGTACCCCCCACACACACCACATACACACACACACCACATACACCACGAAAATATATTGACACATACACACTCCACGCATACCATATACACACACATCACACACACACACTACACACACACACACCTGTCTCTGACTCCCGAACCTTCCAGGTAACACTACAGGTCTCTGATTTCTCTACCTATGACTTGGTGGATTTATTCAAATTGAAAAATTGGTATAATAATACTATTTTTAAAATTTTGTCTCAAATTCTTGCATGTATAATGTATTAGCAAGAATACTAGCAAACTCCATCTTCAGTCTCCTACAAGAAGCAATAATATTGAGATCTAGAACCAATTAACTTTGCCAGTAATTGCTAAGTAATATGAGGGCACTTTTTCTTTCGTTTTGAGGGACCTTACTTTTAATGTTTGTGGGAGTGGGTGTGAATTTCACTGAGTTGTGTACTGCACTCAGAAGTTAAAATAATTTCTCTCTGCTCTCCTTCTACTGTACTCCATTCCAATATCAGAAGGAAGATCAAAGTTTATGAGGGTAATGAAATACTGTTTTGGTAAACTAAACCCAGTCCTCAGGGGTACCCAATGTGTTTAACTTATTACTGAGCATTATTTATTTGCTGAGAAAATCTGTCTTACTAGCCGTTTTTCCGAAGTCTGCTTTTCACCCACATGAGTGTGTTTAGGTCGACGGACAACCCCGTTTGCACATCTGTGGGCTTCCCTCCTCCTCATCCCCAGTGCACAGGATGATGGCCCACATCAGTCAGCCACAGACACACACAGCGCTGGCAGGAGCAGGGCCGCCTCCCCTCAGAGCCGCCTCTGCAGGCAGGAAGGCTTGCTGTGCCCAAGCAGAAGAAAAATGGAAAAGAGAATCAAAAGAAGAAAACCTTTTTCTTGAGTCCCTCCCCCTGGAATCAGTTTTGGAGTGTACATAAAAGAAAAAGTTAAGTCCGTGCGTGTTGCACCTGGCAGGAACAGTCTCTGTGGTGGGAAGAATCAACAGCGAATGGAGACAAGACCTGTTCCTGACGTGTTCACACGGGGAGAGAGCTTTAAGAGCTCTTTGCGTGGGCTGAACTGCTCAGTGTGTGATTCATGCACGTTGGGCACCCTCGGGGCTGGGTCTCTTTGCCCTGGGAAGGGAGGTAGAGGGACTATTTGTCTGAGATCTCAGAGTTTAGGTTAAGCTGAGGTACTTCGCATTTGTTATCTCAAGATGTTACGGATTGAATTGTGTCCCCCAGAAATTCGTGTTGTAAATCCTAAACCCCTATGTCTGTAGATGTAATCCTATCTGGAAATAGGACTTTCTTTGTTTTGTTAATGATACCAGATCAGTGCACCGCGTGTCTTAAACTAATCTTTGAGATATAAAAAGAGCAGATTAGGCCCAGAGAAGGAAGTACTAACAGAGGGGAAGATACGCACCACATGTAGATCGCTAAGGAACCAAGAAACGGAAGCTGAGAAGAGACAAGGACCTTCCCCAGAGCTGACAGAGAAATCCTTCCTCTAGAGCCAGTGCCCTGAATTCAGGCTTGTAGCTTCCTAAACTGTGAGAAGATAAATTTCTGTTTGTTAAAACTACCCCCTTGTGGTATTTCTGTTACGGCAGTACTGAGAAACTAAGACACAAGTGGTTAGAAAAATGGGGCAAGATGCAGTAGGTAAAGAGTGGGAACGCTGTCCTCCTTTGATTCTGCTTAAAGTAAATAGGTTCTTTCTCCTTGTGCCTGGGAGGAAGGACCTCTAGCTCTCTGACCGCTCCTAACGAAACCCTTATGCCTTTCCCATCAACGTTTCTATATTTCTTTTTTCACATTCTTCTCATACTTCTTTAAGTAACTAAAGTTCCAAAAAACCAAGATGGTTGTTAGAATGGATATAAGCAATGTAAATCCCAGTTTCTCTCAGGAGATCTGATAGCTTGCCTGGGGCCTACAGATTCCCATTTCTTAGTACAGACCTCTCTCCTGACTGCTAATAGAGATCTCCGCATGTCCCAAAGGAAACCGAGTAGAATCTTCTGTTATAAACCCACTGTGTCTTTCTATTCCCTGTTTTGATTTACAAAATTACCTTTCATTTAGTCACACAAGATGAAATAGATTACCTGAATAGTCTTATAAAGAAAAAAAAAGACCCTATTTATAGGCAGAGTTCCTAGGTGGTTCAAATGGTTAACGTACTCAATTGCTAACCAAAAGTTTGGGAGTTCAAACCTACCCAGAGGCGCCTGGGAAGAAAGGCCTGGTAATCTGCTTCTGAAAGGCCACGACATTGAAAACTCTTTGGAGCACAGTTTTCCTCTGTAACACATGGGGTTGCCATGAATCAGAATCAACTCAATGGCAACTGTTTTTATTGTTGTTGCTGTTCCAGTCACCTAAACCAGAAACCTATTATGATCTTGCTCCTTCTGCCCTCTGCCTCACTTCCACTTGTAATTGGCCTTCAGATGTTGCCCATTTTATTTCCCCAGTATCTCTTGAATCTCGCTGTTCCTCTCCAAAGCCCTCACCGTCTATATTAGTTCATGCCTGCATCCGCCCTCACTGTGCTACTCTGTAGTCCAAATGTCAGCTGGCAACCCAGCCTTGCATACCACTGAACTTCTCCGGGGGTGTCTTACATTTTTCTAGACACACCTGAATCTGAACTTCTGCTTCTGCTGAGTGAATTCAGTTGTGTGGGTCATCTTGCTGCTGCTCCTGCCCCATATTCAGTTATCCCAACCGTGGTACATACTTCTTTAACCTGATTTCCTCAAACATCCCTCACACCAGACATTTATGTGATGTAAAAGTTTTGAAAAGCTGGAGGTGGTACAGGGAGACTAATTAGGCCAATATTATAGTATATGCTGAAAAGAAGTGTTATTTATAACCAAGACTCTCTGTAATTGTGCTGGTCTTCTAAGGGGAGAGTGTGGGAATATGATTCATTTTAGTGAAAAAATAAATCCCTATGCAGCCCCCACCCACTTCTAGAGAATAGT